AATTGACGAGAATCTATCCGTCCATTGGAATTTATCACGTGGTTTTCGTCACGTGATTATCCCTTAAACAATTCTTAGTAGGTATCAAAAAAGTGCTCATGATGGTAGGTAAGAAGGGTGGAGTGCAAACGACTTCAATTTGCATACGGGTGTGACTGGTGACAAAATACAAGATCAGAATTGTTTATATTGAAAAAGAGGTCGAATGTATCCTAAACTGAAAAGGAGACTGATAAAAATACTATCTATATCACCCTACAAGGCAATCTAAAACATTTGACCATTTTCCTGGCAAAATCCCGTTATTCAAACGTTTTCGGCAATCGCAATCTATAATTCTTGACAAAAATAGTTGGAACAATACAAAATCTAAATTCTAAGTTCAAAAAATGGCAATCAAGGATTTGACTACCTTCAAAAGATATCAACGGTGCCGCTAATATCCAACTCTTCTCTTCTCAAGTCCGTCTGATTCTACCTATTCACGTTCAAAGTAATATTGGCATTAAACGACATTGTAAGGAAACAGCAAACGCTGTAGAATTCTAATAATTTTGCAGCTTAGTATAGACAAAAAACCATGCCAGAAGGTTAACAGTAATCGAAGTAAATTTTCAGCGCGTTTCTTTTTTCAAAGACATGACTTGCTCTGCCCATTTATAGGACTACTAAATGGTGAAGAAATGGCTTAAAAAGAAAAAAAGGAGAGAGCAGAATACTGCTTTAATACAACCTTACAACGGGGCTTATTTTAAGCCTCGAATTCGTAGGATTATATCAGTTAGTCTTTAGCCATACAACATCCAATAATGGAAACGAATATCATTGCCATGGAAATGCTTAGCACACTGATTTCAGTCCAAACGAGGCAATAAGAAGGAGGCTATGATTGAACTTAGACTATAAAATGGCTGTACGTGTAGCGCAAATGCTTGCAGCCAAAGATAGGTGCTATAAAACTATCTACAACGAAAAGTCAGTAGATGATCAATATACTAGTAAGTTCCACTAAAATTGATAAAACATAGGAAGAAGCTGCCTCTAGTGTTTGAAAATTTTTCTCTTCCTTTATCCACCAAATACAAAACTATATAAATAAAAATACTACTCCCAATGCTCATCTTCTGATTAGAACTGAACTTCAAACGCTGAGACAAAAGGTAGTTGTGACTACAACTTAAAGTAGTATAAAGAATAGAGATCTGACGAGCAAGCAGAAGCAACGCATTCTTATTTCTGACGGTTTCAAAATTCAGGTTTTCTGTCGGCAAGATAATGAACAATAATTGGAAAATTCTGAATGGATTCATCTTGTCTGTGAGGTTAATCCACTGCAAGTCATGCTAGTCAAAACTTATCAAGATATGAAATTTTTAGTAAGGGATATTTTTTCACCTAATAAAGGACAATCAAAGCCTCCCCTTTAAAGATTATATGGGATATTAATCATATAACGGAAACGAATATGATCCAGCCGGTCCTCCATGCAATGAGGTATTAGAAATGCTTGATAAGAAAGGTAATAAAACAGTTGAATCTTGGCAGGCCTACACGTGCTGAAGAATGAATACGACAGTAATGTCCATAGGCTTTAAATCTAGTTTGTCTGTTTTCGTGCAAAGTAGGTATTAATCGAATTACGGTACTCTTGAGTCTGATTGCCTCAACAAGGTACGTGAAAGATTTGTAGCCAAAATGCATCGTTCACGACAGAAGTTGGTTTTACAGTCTGCGCTGGTTAAAGTTGATCAAAAAACAAGCCTGATCCGAAAACTTGCATGAGGCTATAAAAAATACCACAGTTGTTATTCCAGCTTTGGTTTCCCGGTTGGTCGTAGGACACACAGCACTGATAGATGTAATTAAAAATTTGCACGAAACAAACGTGAACCATCACCCAAACTCAGGCACGCAAGGCATATAAAAAACAAAAATAGAGCAATATACAATAGGGACCATAAAAGCTCACTCTTCTGAAAGCTAAGTCTTAAAGGAGATCGTACTACAACCAGAAGGAATAAAATACTAGAATGTTTTAAGTTCACATCCAAGAAACGTTCATCTTTTTCTAGTCTTTGTGAATACACCTTTTCGATATCCGCGCGCTTAATTTGCATAAAGAAACTGGGGCAAGAAATTAGGTGAAAAATTTGCCACAGGTCTTTGTTTACATATAGATACGGCGTTTACTGGCAACTAAATATTGTCCGAATTGGCATCAAAAGTATTCGAAATTTTGTGGATTTGATAGCTTATTCATATCTCAGGAACAAAGCAAAAAATTGGGACGCATAAAAGTATTGAAGAGAAGAAATAGTGGTCGGTGGTGCTTTAGCTATTACAATAAAACAAAAAATAGGAAAAGAAAATAAAATGGGGTTAAGCTGTCTATTAATGTCTCAGTTTCATCACTGGGGTGTCTTTATGGATATAGCCAGGGATACTTGAAGAAATCTACAGGAACACTAAACATCTTTGAATACTAGAAGTTTAAAACCTGTCAGGCCAGCTTGTGGCAAAGCCTTATAGCCCAAAATTTTGATGCTCCGTATCGTATTCTTTAGCAAAGGTTACCTTGGTTCAAAGGGGCTGCTAAAGAATATTTTCGCGCAAACTAAGCGATTTTGGCGACCATTTAAAGGCTCTTGGGCAACTGGTATGCTTAGCGACTATATTTTCAAAACGGGCCTAATATCATACTGCATGAAAATACCAAATACTGTCAACTTATCCTCACATAACAAACCGCTACAGCAAAGCAAGCCGGTTGCACAAGAGCCTTTAAGACCTACAACCAAACTAAACCTACGAGCCTCAGTTAAAAAATCAATATCAAATTAGGCCATTAACAGTACAAGCATTACTTGATTAATTATGAAGAATGAAGAATGGAAAACATTATTTAAACAAGGACTCTGAAGTCTTAACACAAATATCACAACGAATGTGAGCCATTCATCACGATGAGAATTTTTCACTATTTGGCAGGTAACACGCTGTTGGGTATCCCTTCTAGCTGATGTTAAATCCAGGCAGACTGATGCAACGGGCAATATATCACAGAAATGACACGGTGCCTCATTCAACATCGATTTGCTAAAGATTATTAGAAAAATCAAATTCCTTATAGGTAGCGAGGATAAAGAAATATCAGTTGTAACAATTACCACCTACCTTTCATGTCTGTTAAGGCGACAAACGGATGTCAAGTCTTCAGAACTCTATAAAACGAAAGAATTTTACATAAAAATGTAGCAACGGGAGTTAACAACTCGAAAACCTTGTTTTTCAGACATAAAGACACGTTGTCTCAAGTTAAAATTCGAATTAAAATGGACGCTTCATGAAAGAAGGCTGCAGGGAGGAAAGTGGTTGGGAAAAACTACACTTAAATTAGCTGCACTTTAAATTTTCATCCCTAAATCACATATTTTTTTATTTCATTTTGTGGACAATTGAACGCTTTCTAGCTGCTAAAGGTCGAACCAGCTATTCGGTGTATTTTCAAAATTATTGGTTGCAAAACAGGGCCAATTGCAATGCTTCATCGAGTCTCGGGCCTCTTTTTTCTTCAAGGGATCTTTAATCAATACTACGGGTCAGTTTATCATAGTGGCATTCCTGAAAAAGTGATGCCTGCACACATTGAAAGGGGAATACAATTTATTACGTTACTAATACTGATTTTTGGGTGACTGTTTCCTTCATACTTTCTGTGAGATTTGAATGCTCAACTGCTTACGAGTTGCGTGTAGAGAACTGTAATACCATGACGTGTCCCTCAAGCAAAATAATCAGATAAACGGATAACACAACATTTAATTAAGAATCAGTCTAAATTAGAGCTCACATAGGTCACCAGTGCTTGCAAACGAAATGAGGACTCTAGATCAAAATTGCAGTGCACATTTGTTTCTTGAAAAAATTTCAATTTTGCAAAAACGTAGATTCGCAGCGTTCCTGTTACTTTATTCTCAATGAAGATTTTAGAAAGTCCTGCTTAAACAGAATTGTTTTACAAAAACAGTTAAAAACTCATCTCTGAAACTTTGACAAAGACTTCTTCCATTTGGACACAGTTATGCAGTAAACGCTTCCCAAAGAGAATCCCATCTTAACAGTTAAATCTGTAGATAACTCTTGTCAGTATTTAAACCTTTCCGGTATTGACCCAATAACGTTTTTGGTTATAACTTGTTTGAAAAATACTTTAAAACCGCATCAAAAATAGATTTGTAAAACAACAGGCGAAGTAATTTCCTTTAACCACCATTTAACCATAGCTACTTCCATATTTCTTTATGAATGTTCTTTGCTATTGTTGTGACTTCGAAAAGGAAATTCTTTTCTGTGTCAAAGAAAATTCTTGATATGTTAAAAACGGCGATAATCATCCACTAATGGAGAAACGTAAGAAAATTACTTCAAAAATGTGCGTATTTGATCAGAAACTCTTTAAGCCTAGCTAGGTAGAGATTGGCTGGTTTGAGTTTTACAGACACATATGCTTCATCAAGTTGCTTCTGGTAGAGCTGAGATGGAAGCTGCAAAAGAGGAAAATTATAAAGTCGACGTCATAGAAATTTCGAAGCTGCTTGACGTAGGATTAGCGGAAACGCAACATCGATACAAACAGAAATTGTTTGTTGATTTATGGAGTTAGAAAACTCGTGCATTGACGGATTTATTTGGATTTCAGCAGTGGGAAGATCAGCACACACGAATGTAGTTTAATTTACAAAATGTCTTGAATGTGTGCCTGTGTTTGCTGCGAAATCAACTTTAGCTGCATATGTAGAGCTAATGCAATTCAACAATCACTTGTTTTTGCATCTATTTTTCTGTAGGCTCTCTTTTTTTTCGTAATCACGAAGATTCTTTAGAAAATTCTAGAATAGAAGAGTTCTTCGAGAGTCTTAATACATTTCTCAGGCTTAAAGTTCTGAAATAAAAGCATTTCTCCCTGATATAAGAAACATTTCGATAATATTTTCTCATGGTCCATCATACCCATTTTATCTTTTGCAAAGATTTGTACAATGCATTTATGAAAACATTAATTTAAAGAGAAAATAACAATACCTACCGGTAAAATACATTTCGTGCCACGGCATGTTCCGTCAATCAAGGTTTTCAGATAAAATTAGTGCTTCGGACGTAAGACAGTCTATGTCCTTTCAACGATGACAAAAAAAGGTAAATTTTTCCAAGCAGAGGTAGTTAACAAACCATGTGAAAATTTATAATGTCAGTGGCCAATTTTAGTAAATAAATGATAAGTGGCAATTTTTATTATTTAAACTTTTGCTGGCCAGTTTTAAATAATATTTACCTATTTTATGATTAATTCCCGAAAATGGATACAGTAGGCCACAGACTATTTATTGGTCGTAGAGCGCATTCTCGTGTGCAGAAAATTAGCAATCAGGTCACAATAATAATTTCTGAGAGTTCAAAACACACATTTGCATCGCTATTGATTTTACATTCAGAATTGGCAATACTTATAAATATCTATATCTAATAATAAAATACCTAAAGAGAGCGTCATTGGAAAGAGTATCTTCAAAAAGTTACAAATTACGCCCTGCATTTCTTCATTTTTTACTATCTTGAATTCAATTCATCCACTAGCCAGAGATCATCAGCATAAGTGCACGCCAGGTCCTTTGCCATGAGCACCTAGAGAGGCAAAAAGCTTTTAGAACAACGTATCAATTCTTTTTTAAAGCTCTAGTTTGCTATCTAACGATTAGTCAATAAGCACTATCAATGGCTCAGTGGTTAGGGTTGTGGACTAAAGATCTAAAGGGTTTGAGTCACAGTCACTACCAAGCTTCAATTTGCGTGAAGAGGGTCGCCTGCTCTCTGTAATTCCAGGCGTAGGAATAACGGGGTGTGGCCTGAGAAACTACCTTTCGAAGCTAGGTAATAGCAAATACAAATACTTAAATACAAATACAAACAGATAGACTTTAGTCAAAATGTATACAACACAAACAAATTACTTTACTCAAACGATGTAAAAATAGGATTACGTAACATCAGAAATAAGACATATCTTTCCATAATCTTCACGAAAGAAATTTCTAATTGGCACATAAACAAGTTTAACCTTTCATAGTCTCCAAAAGGTTTAGGGCTATCAAATGGTTATGGAGAATGGTTTCGAAATTCTATGGAGCAGTATTACGTACATAGAACACTACTCCAGAACGAGGCGTATGTTGCAGATCCAGTGACAAAGCCAGTTGCAGCTGGATTCCTTCTGATGGTCTTGACAGAAAATTGATTAGGAGGCTGGCCAGGCCCTTGGACATCCACTTCAACTATATGGCAATCTAAACTGAACAATATTTGTAGCATATAAACACAGTCATGATAGTTAACAGTAGCAATTCTGATAGCAAATTTCTCTTAACATTGTTAGACATCATCTGTTTAACTAGCTGTTCCTTATAAAAAACCAATGCACGTCTTTAATAACAATACGCATCTTCATGTGAATTTAGGTATTACAAGGCATTACAACAATTAAACTAACAGGGAAATAAGAAAGCAGGAAAAAAGCATAAGAAAAGAGTTGTATTGCAATTGATTCTTTACCAAATCTTCATAAACTAACACAATCTTAGAGAAGAAACTTCAAAGAAACTGAGAAATGATTTCCTCCTGAAATTTATTTTTTTCGGCGAAATTTGGCACAATTACCAGTCTTTCGAACAAGAGGGATTATCTCTGGTCCCTGGGTGTCTGGTATATGGTGGCTGTACAGTGCTGCCTAACTGAGAGCCGTTCAAATTGGGATATGTCTCCTCCAGGAAAGATGCTCCAGCATGGTAAATTCAACGTTAAAATAACGATTTCCTGGGTTTTCTGCTGATTAAGACTACATTCAACAATAGAATTTAAACTTAAACTTATTTTAAACTTATTAGGTATATATGTACTATTTGGTGTGCCAAATCATGTTTGAGTGTTGTTTTAGTGATTTAATATTAGGTCAATATATTCTATAATCTTTAAGTTTTAATGGTATAATAAAGATAGAGCTATTCATGGCTCGATAAATATTTTCTGGTGGGAAACAGAAGCAGGCATTTCTAAAGCATAGGGAAGATTTCTCTAGAAATTTTCATACCTGAAGAACTAAAATAAATCTTTTCTTATTTATTGTTTACTTGAATTTATCACTATCAAATTTACCGAATCCTGCGTTCAGTAACAAAGTTTGACAAAAGAGCTACTCAAACTTCTCATTTTATCTAAGAAAACTAAAGCAGTTGAAATGTGGTTGACGGATTAAGAGAATCAAATAATAACGTTATTATTCCAGAGACCATTTATGTTTTCCCATGGCACGCTACAAGTGCCATGCCATTTGAGATTCCTTGCATTAATATAAATATTGAAAAAATTGTTTATATTTGCTCAAAGAAACATCAGTTCAGTCAGGGCTTTTGGGATAAGGTTCAGTCAAAAAGACTTTTCCTGAAAGTGTATAATGCAGAACAATTTGGTCTAAAAAATTATGTTTAGTACCAACTAAGTGAAAATACAATAGAGCTGTCAATCTTTAGACTCAGCTGAAACGAATATGGTTTCAAGTAAGTCTAATAATTCACAGATATTCCAAATTTCATGACTGTTCAAGGAAAATTTTACCATATCTAAGACCATAGGAAATGTTTGAGTTAATGCGTGAATGGTGCTATAGTCTTCAAGCTTAAATTTACAAGAAAATCAAATAAAATCTTTGGCCATTCGATGAGCAGAAATGGAGCTTGAAAAATGTGAAATCGCTTTAGGAAAAATGATTTTAGGAAGACATTAGAGCATCCTGAAGCCAATTATCGGCAAAAGTGACCTTAACTGATATCATTAAATGGTCTAATCAACCACAAATAAAATGTCCCATAAAAATCTGGGGAATTAACTAATCAATAATTTGGATTTAGTAAGAAATAAAACAATAAACTTCTAACTAACGAAGAAATTGTGGATAGAAAAGCAGTTCAATTGACCATTAAATTCTGCCTTGGTGACAAAATCTAAACTTTCACAGGGTGAATTTTCTTGCGGGTTAGATTTGGTTTCGCAGTGGGAGGAAATCCCTCTAACTTTGTTTTGATTGAACATTCAGTGAAAGGAAACATTGTTCTTTTATTCATTGATGTTAAGTGAACGATCAGAAAGCAATTCCAAGGTAGGAGGAGCTAGCGTGGAGCTTACTGGATTTCGAAAGCTCAGACCTTCTTTACTGTAAAAGGCACACGCCTAATTAGCCTCGGAGTAACCTCAATAGCTTTTCAATCGGATCAGTGTTTTTGGACTATAAATGTGGTGAAACGTCAGTTGAAGGACACGTCCAAAGGATCTGAAAACGATTGTTGTTCCAAAAGCAACTATCGTCAGAAGACGTGAGTTATAAAGAAATAAATTGTCTCCTTTTGGATAAAATTTGGCTCAGAACAAACTCAAGAAGAGTTATTACGAAAATTTATCTCCAAATATAAAGAGACATTTGGAGTTGTTTGGAAAAGGGAAAAAACAATTATGATCGTACGGTGTGGGCTCCTACCGGAAGGATAATAGCGTGCGTGTAATGGATTTTTAGCTTCTTCCATTCTAAGAACCTGGCTGAAAATGACTTTATTGACATTTATCAAAACAGCGTTCTGATATATCAAGACATATAGATGGTATGTCACAGTAAGCAGGAGTACAGGAATTTATTTGAGGAAATTAATTTGCATATAATCAGTTAACGTAAAACATGTAATTGAAAATAGTTTCATTTATACCTTGGATCGGCAACTAGGCATCCTTGAACGGCATCGAATCCGAGATTCCAAGCTGCCAATGCAGCAGCTGCCATTGTGTTCACATTATTCGGCGCCAAAGGACACAACTCCCGAACAGACCCTGCAAGCGAAGGCATAGTAGGCAATGTAAAATTGGCTATGTCATGAATGCTAACAGAATTGTAACGACGCAAAACATAAAGCCATCGAAAGCATGGATAGCGGATTTGTGAAGTCATTTCACGACTGCAGTTAATTTCTGCCATATCTAATCAACTCTTTACTTGTAAATTGAATTTTTAAAAAACATGTAAATTTCTATCAAAGTTTATATTTACATAACACCAATCTAGCACATTATAGCACATTATACAAATGTGGAGTATAAAATAAGAAAATCAAAATGTATGCTGCTCTTTCTCATTATAAACACTGCTCTTGTATCTGAAACTTCCTGTCACTGATGTACCACTGAAGGTGATCCGATGTTGAAAAAGAGTTCAAGATCTTGAACACATCAGAATAATGCTACATTTGAAACGCAGCATTGACGTTTCATTATTTGAAAATAGCACGAAAAAGCGAAAACATGTCATACTTAACATGGTATGTTTCGGCTTTTCCGTGCTATTTTCAAATTTCATTATTTGTACTTTAATGAGTTCATTTACAGTCTACTCTCGATAAGTGGAACCTTCACAGGACCTAAAAAGATGGTTCCACTTATCGAATGTTCCATTTGTCCGAATTGCTCGATAAGTGGAACCTCCATGAAACCGAACAAAAAGCTCAACTTATCGAACTTCTTCCTTGTCTGATTTCACTGGAGAACGGGGCATTTACGAATAATGAAAAACAGGGGGAAAGGAACAGAAGAATAAGCTTTATAAAAGTTTATGCTCCATATGATGATTATTCTTAAAGCAATGTAGTTATGCAATATAATCTTTTATACGCTTGTTTTAGAGCTTGTGAAAGTTTCACACAAACTTGTTTAAGAGATTTCCTTCAACTACTTCAAATATTTCAGCTTTCTTTTTCACCCAATGTGAAACGGTGTTTTTAGCAACACCATATTTCTTTGCTGTAGCTATACAGCTCTGGCCTTGCATCAATTTCTTTTAAAGCCTTGTATTTGTTGACTGTAGTTAAACAGGAAAGCATTCGTTGATAACGGGCTATGCTCGAAACGTCGTTAATTATTTTAAAAAAAATTTCCTGGTACAATTTACTTACATTGATCATTATTTAAAATAAAAGAGGTTTGCTAATGTAAATTCAAGGAACCGGAGAAATTGGTTCCACTAAACGAAAGTTCCACTTATCTAGTCTAGTCTTCGTAGACTGGAAAGTCTAGTCTACGAAGAAATTAATAATTAACTTGTGATCAATTCTCTTTCAAAAATTCACAGGCTATGCAGCTATCAAAGCAAAAATGCGTTAATACGTCAAATTAAAAGCTTAAAAAACATTATAGTCTACGTATGTAATAAAAAAAATAAGTAGCCTTACCGTCATAAAGTGTTACAGGGTCATCTTTGACATTGTCATTCTTTTCCACGAGATCTCCCACTAGCTTAAACGAGTGTGGGTGTTTCTTCATAGTAATTTTCAGACCCTATAACAGAACATTTAACGATGGATAAAATGCTCAGTACAAACTTTAGTAGGTCAAATAATCAAACAGGTTATTAACAGAAATCAAACTTGTTGAAACGGACAATTTTCCTACTAGAGTGTTTCAAAACATCACCTTCAAGGTCCCTCTGTCTGCCATTTTCTTTATATCTTCACCACCCCAAAATGCACCTGTTGGTACATACAGTCCATTCGGACCACTTCCTGCCTTGTCTCGTAGCTTTTTCTCTAAGTCCCTTTTTGCTAATGCTGTTGGGGAACCGATCTGAGGAACAAAAAGTTAATACATTAAAGATCTAAAAAGGTTACATATTCCACTCTAAAAATGTTGAGGAGCTGCTTTTCTGCAAATTGGGAATCCCAACTGCAAATTATCTTGCTAATGTGTTGTTCACTTCATAGTTATTATGTATACCAAAAAAGCTATACATAGCTTCATGATTGTCAAATTATTCCAAAAACTAAACCAAAAATTGTCATAAGTTGATTTTCAAAACATTTGGAGGCATTGCACATTTTCAAGAAAATAAGATATGTTCAATTGTTTCATTATGACTCATTAAATAAATATGATAAACTTGAGGAGAGCCAATTTTTGAATGATATACTTCAATAAAAGCAAGTAAGTTTATTTATACTAATCCCTAGATTTTAGAGACATGAAAAAGTACCAGGACAAAGTGACATAACAAAGTACCCTGACCAAGTATCATGACAAGGGACTATGAAAAGTAACCATGACCAAGTTAAATGACAAAGTATAATGACAAAGAACCATGACAGAGTACCATGACAGGGTGTCATGACAAAGTACGATGACCAAATACCATGACAAAGAACCATGACAGAGTACCATGACAGGGTGTCATGACAAAGTACGATGACCAAATACCATGACAAAGAACCATGACAGAGTACCATGACAGGGTGTCATGACAAAGTACGATGACCAAATACCATGACAAAGAACCATGACAGAGTACCATGACAGAGTACCATGACAGGGTGTCATGACAAAGTACGATGACCAAATACCATGACAAAGAACCATGACAGAGTACCATGACAGAGTACCATGACAGGGTGTCATGACAAAGTACGATGACCAAATACCATGACAAAGAACCATAACCAAGAACCATGGCAAAGTATCACGACAAAGAACCATGACAGACTATCATGACAATTTGTCAAAGAACCATTGACAGAGTACCATGACCAAGTACCATGATGAAGTATCATAACAGAGTGACATGATAAAGTACCATGACAAACTACCATGAAAAAGTGACTTGACAAAGCATCATGAAAAAGTGATATGAAAAAGTACCAAGACAAACTACCATGACAAAGTGGCATGAAATAAACCAAGACAAAATACAATGAAGTATCACAACAAAGTACCATGTAATCTGCTACTTCCAGGAATTTCTCCCCGTGGCTTTCAGTTATTGAAGGGTGTGCAACCTCTATGATAAGATCAGGTGATCTGAAAAAAAATATACTTAAGTCAAGAAAACACATTAATACAGCAGATCTTATTGAAACTAAAACAATAATATTGAGTCACAACTAATAAGCTTTAATAAATAAATTCTGGAGTCATAAAATTAACCTTAAATTATTACATACCTGAAATTCCTAGCAGTAAAGCTTATGACGTTATAATTCTATATACTGAAAATCCTCTTTTCAGGATCCCTACTCTTTCTAATTCCCCTCTAACTTACACCCTCCATTAAGCTATATATGGAAAATAAACTAAGACTTACGGGGACTTCATTTAGAAAATATAATATTGATTGCATCAAAAGAAGGCAAAAGAACAACAAAGTAAAAATAGGTTCAAACGTTCTACAAAGCCAGTTTTAAAACACAATGGGGGATATGTTTGCTACTATTTTATCATGTTTCAAGTGTACCCAAGCCCCATTTCACCAAAACACTTTGTTGATATATCTGCCAGCACATTTGCATTATGTTCGTTCTTTTAAAAGGGTCCCCGCAATGGCCTAGGCATTTGGGGTAAAAGGAGTATTTTGGCTGTCAGTGTTGGGGGAAGTCGGAAGGCCTGCTGGGGCAATCCCCCAACCAGTGAGTATGTTAAAAAATGCCCTGAATTTCCATTAATTGCAGAAAAAAGAACATTTTTGAAAGTAAATTTTTGAACATTAATAAATACTAAACAGTGAATGTCTTTTAAATGTTTGTCCCCTCTTTATATGGGCTTCTGTTGTCTAAGATTCTTTCTTTTTTATCAACACCTAAGTGGCTAAATAGAGCATTCAACATCCTCAATAATGGTAAGGAATGGTATTACAGTTAACATTGAAAAAAAATCTGGATATTCATTCATTATTAAATGCTATAATTCAATATACTGATAGATTGACAGAAGGCTTCAACTCATTTTAGGATGATACTGTCAGCTAAAGTTGTATCATTTAATGTTATTGCTATTGCATTTAATCCACAAGGGTAAGATATGTAAAACAAAAAAGTTGGGTATTTCCCACATCCACCAAAAAAATATTCATATGACTTAGCTGAATACTACATTTGTCTAAGTCATCTATTATAGCCTCAGAAGAGATGCCATTTTCATCTAGACAGCTATTTTTATTCAAACAAACATAAATACTTGAGAATATTCACACATTGACAAACAAATTCTTAAACCCCATTCATTGAAAACTAATTCACAAAACCTGCTTGCTATTTTGTCCAAGTCATCTATTATAGCCTCAGATGGGATGCCTTTCTCCATCTTGTCAACTGTTCTGTTCCAAACAAATGCTAGATCCATATCTGGATGGCTGAGAACTTCCTTTGCCAAATATTGACCTATAAGAAAAAAAGCTTATTGAATTGCCTATAAGCAAGTTTTAGCAAAACAACAGCATAAGGTTATAATTGAAAACTTTCACTGATTGAGATTACTGAATGCACATATCAAAACCAGTGAAAAAAATCTGAATTACTTGATTTGTTTTATTCCAGAAAAATATATTATTGAATGATACATTAACTTTGTTCCATTCATAAGCACTAACCAGTAAAAATGTTATGGTAAGGGACTTGGATGATATGAAAAAATGCAGGTTGCATGACCTGGAAACTAAATAACTAGATAAAGTTTGAGTGGGTATTACAACAAGATTCAAAATGACTACTTCCCTAGGAACACTTTGACATCTGATTATGGTTGATGATAAGAACAACCACATTAGTGAATCTGAACATATGACCCAAAGCAAAAGTTTTCAATGCAATTAAAATTGTTATATGCTAGTTTTGAAAGTTGGCAGAGAATTGTCTACATTTTTCATTGAAACAAAAGCTGTTTTTTTAAAGTTCTAGGAGAAAGGAAATTCAGTTGGCAAAGGGCTGCCAAGTAGGGCTGCAAATGATATACTGTGCAGGTGAAGAGCAAAGTTGTATGGTTGGTATATAGTCAGTCTCATGTGTGCATCTGACTGGTTCTGCTTCTGCACATACTTGTTGTTGGAGAACAAAAAATCTATCTCGTAAATTAGCTTATTGACAACATCTTTAAGCATATTCCGTTCGAAAAGCTTAGGAATGTGCACATTTGCTCACTGTTACACACTCAGCTAGAGATGTAAGCAGTTGTCTCCTGATCAGGAGAAATAAACAATATACACTAAGTGAGCAAAAGTATTGCACAGGTTTGACAAATGAGTAATGGTGACCGCATTGTAAACAACAAGGTGATTGATATTGAAACCACTTTTGTGAAGCCATTAGGCATCTTTTTGTAGTTAAAAACAAATCAAATCAATTTTCAAACTGTTGGCAACACTTTTAATTTAAAAATTGAAAAAGTTACTTTATAAAAAATAAATTTTTTTAACTTTTTATTGGACAGTCTCCTAGCTTTGAAACCTTTGTGAGACTTGCTAAAACTTTATCAAGAAGTTTAGTAACAGGTTCTGTTAATCGCGAAGTGATAAGTTCAGAAAAACATTTGCAAGATCACATTTAGGTGTTGAAGTACCAAGTTGATCATAAATGGCCTTGTATTTGGTGGAAAGTGGCATGTTTTAAGCCATTTTATTAAGCCTACTCTTTTACAGCTATTGAGGCACTTGAGTGAACCTGTTTATCGCGGGAATTTTGGTTTTTAAATTTAATGAGAGGACGAAATGTTGTTTTACACAATTTGCAGCATTATTTGTTCCCATAACAAAATGGAAATCGGTTGAAAAAGATGGACTTCACGATTTGTGACACATTTTATTGATTGAATTTTGCTACAATACATCACGAAGCGGCTGCTGCTATTAGGCCCATTGTGGCTCCAAAAATTTTCGACAAAAACATTTAGCAGATTCTTCAACAAAAGTGAGGAAAATGAGCAGTTCTAGACACCCAAGCTTAAAGGAAGTACCCCCGAGTTCATTGTAATAAGATATCGTGGACTAGTGCAAAGATGAACTTTTTTTGCAAATGTTTCACAGGTACTTCAATCATCATGGCTCAATTTTTGTGCTTTTGTGACATGTCGATATTGTTTAGAAATAGGCAAAAATCGAGACTATTCTAGCATTTACTATTTTCACTATCAAACCTAGATAAATTGTCCAACATATTCCAGTTAAAAAGTCATCTTGTAACTTTTATGAAACTTGCTATGGCCACTTGAATTTTGGTTCGATAGAATTTTTTACTGCGGTGCTGCCATTTCTGTTTCAGCCTGTGCAATACTTTTACTCACTTAGTGTATATTGATTGGGATAAATGTCTCCCAATTAAGAGAAGTTTCAATAAAATGTCACCTGATCAGGAGAAGAAATCATGCTTACTTTTTCTTCTGATTCGGAAAAAGTATAACTTTTTGCACAAAAATACACGAAGGAACTTCTGGCGAGATTTTGAAACATCATTTTTAAAAAATACACCATCAAATACATATATCCATGAAAAAATGGCAGGCCACCATTGGAAATTGTTCAGAATTTACATTGAAGTTTTTGTAATGTCATATATTATTGTTATAGGTATTGTTCAAGGAAAGAAAAGGTTCAGGTAAAGTCTATATTCTGGTAATCTAAATACAAAAATGACAGCACCTAAAATATACAGACTTTCTGATCCATTTCGGACTCTAAGATTAGGTTGACTATCAAGACAGACCCTTGGCAAAACAATTTTCATTTCACAAGCAACTGTATTGTATATTATTTACTAAAACTAAAGTGTATAACTTTTAATCATAAATTTCAACATAAGCTATATATTCACTTTCTATTCTGATTTATTGTTATTCAGTTTTATTCTACGTATGATTATTTAAAAGATTTTTTCAAGAATGAATTTCCCTTTGACAAAAGCAAGGTGAAAGATAATATAAGCTAAAATTAAAAACTTTCTGTTTTGTTTCTTTATTTATGCTAGAGCTTATCTAATTGTTCTACTTTTTAGTTAGCATAATGACCTTGATTTTGTGAATAAAACTGAAAGCAGGTTTTAATAACTTTGTTTGTAATTCAGATTCAAGAATATTCTACATTACAAATAAACTCATTTTTTATAAGAAATTGGCTATAAGAAACGGGTACTGGACAGTTGGAAAAAATAAACTTCAGTACTCAAAGAAAAAAAATTAAGAAACTATCAAATCGTGTTTAAACTAAGAACAATGAAATTTTGTAAAATCAAAGAACATCATTGCCCTGTTAGCCTAGAACTTTAGACACAAAGAAATAAAAATATACCTCTAACATCTAAATACAGCATCAGAAAGGAAGCAAATCTCCTGACCTGATAAAAAGGTCACGAACATTTCATAACATCATTCATTACATCATAATTAAGAAACTCTTAAGAAACAATGAGTATTGAAATTTCCAGAACATTTAGAAACTGGAGTACTCAACATCGACCTTTGTTTCATACAAAAAAATGAGTGTACACACATACATTACATGGTAAGGTTAGTAGTTTTCTCTGACGTAGTTGCACTACCACCAAAGAGAGGGCATGAACAATAACTACATCTCACGACTGACGTCATCAAAGATTAAACACTTCAATTGCTCAGGATTTCAAACGGTGACATGCATATTTTTTTCGATATACCCCCGTTCTTTTGACATGCAGAATTCAGATGTTTGACCAGAAAAAACCGCCTAAGCCTTTTTGATCATAAATTAGCCATTTACAGGAAAAATTCTCCCAAATCGGGAGAGAAAACTTAAGCTGCCAAAGATTTGAATTCTCCTTCTCCCGTTCGGGAGTCAAAATGCTTATATCCCTAGCTGACACTGCATACCGCACACGTCGAGAAGTGTTAAGTGCCGTACTTGAATTGAATCTAAATAGAGAGGCTATAACTTTTTAAACATAAGTGTTACTGAGAGAAATCATAAAGTTTACCTAAACTTCCATACCCAACAATTCCGATTCTGCGTCGTTTTCCAGCCATTCTCAGAAGACCCGTTTCCCCTCAACTACCTACAAACACGGGTAGGCTCTGACGGCCGGCCTGATGACAAAAGCCTAGGCCATTTTGCCTCTCTTTTGCTTCGCGCCAAAAGCAAAATTACACAAGAGAGGCTGAAAATAACTAAAGAAATTGGTCCCGCAGAGAAGCTCTAAAAAATATTTATACTTTCAGAAAAAAAAACTCAGCACAGCTACTTTTAAATCATCAATTATGCTGATTTTAACCATTTAAGTAGATTACCGTATCTATTCGATTAAAAGCCGCTCTTGATTCATAAACCGCAGCAAAATGTGCCAAAAGATAATTATAAGCCGCAGCTTATATTCGAAGAAATACGGTTATTATCTTTATATTGTAATGAAAATTCGTAGCATAGCTTCATAATATTCAAGGCTGACGGAATATCTTCGCCTTTATGGGTATTTCTAAATGAAATTAAATTGAATCAATACTGAAATGAAATACGAACTAAGCAAGCTGCTCCCATATACAAGTTATCAGATACCATATGAATGTTTACGTCTTTCAATAATACATTTGTTTTCAATATAGTTTTAAAAGATGAAAGCAAGGGGGGCTAATAAGAATTGAAGTCGGTTAAAGAACTAATTTTAAAAATCATTCATTAAAACAAACGCAGAGCTTCATACGTTTATGGCAAAAGTGGACAAAAGGCAACTGGTGCTAGATCGTGTTGGGACAGGGCTAATCGAGCAATATGATAGTTAAAAGGCCCCGGCGCAGTATCAGTTTTATAAACGCTTTTCAATCACTGTCTTTGGGGACCTTATCATAAAGCCTTGATTGTGTTCCGGCAACCCTTCGGCCTTTCTGAACTTAACTTCTATATAATTGTGACATAATTTGTTATAATCATTTCGTCAATTGGGAAATTTTGGCGGAAGATTGATTTCGAAAGATGGCTTATACGATTTCGGCATCAAAGACAAGATATAAACCGATCCAAAAACACGAACAACACGAAATTTCATTTGCCCCGCAAGGAGTTGAATGCTTTGTAAAAGTCACAATGGGGTGTGTTAGCCACAGTTAAAAGCATAGCATTGTGAGAAAAGTCCCTTTATCTAATTTAATGAATTTGAATAACTTAGATAAATATTTTACCGTCTGTCGCTCATATCAGATCAAATCAAATTTTATATGGATTGAGTACAACTTGAGTACAAGTTTTTCTAGCATGCTCAAGATGTGTGGAAAACTGTTATGAAGAAGATCGCATTTACCAATATAGTTTGCTGCTGCCTTTATTATTCTGCGCTGCAATTTTTTCAAAAGGAACTTTCAGATCTATCGGACAGTAAAATGTCGTTCGTTACGGTGAAGTTTGGAAGTAAGTGAATTTATTCTAATGAACATGTATTTTGAATGACTGACTAAACTTGGATCAATGAATCCTTAAAATTGCAATAGTGTGAAGTCCAATATCATTGATGGATCTTAAAATCTAGCGATTCGCTGCAACTTTTTGCTATTGTGTAAATGGTTCCCTGCACTTTACTGGAAATACCTCTGACCATGTGATGCCTAATACACTAATTCAGAATTTACTTGCAGTGGAAATAGCTATTATCAGAAATTCGGAAACTTCTTTTTCTTAAAGCAAATCAGCAATAAATCCTATTGAAAAAATCTGAGCAATTGTTTTTAAGTTCACTCTTCAAATAGTACGGCAGGTACGATAATATGCGTGAAAGCATATTTTGTGTAAAACTATCACCGACTAATAAAGTCTACACAGAGATTGAGAAAATAATTCAAGCAGAGATTGAATTATTTTCAGAAATATTTTTGAAAAAAAAGCACTGCGGAGCAGGGGGGCTTGGGTAGCTTTGCCTGTAAAGCCTCTTTCCAAGAACCACCAGTAGAGCTTCTTTCTATTCAGTTTAAGCCCCCCCAACTTTTCTCAACCCCCTCCCCCCCGTGCCTGAAATATATTACAAATTCGAAAGTATTACCTTTGTTGCAAATTGTTTGTGCTTACCAGATAACCAGAAGGCCCTGTTCAACCCAAACTGCAAGACGGCTGTGCTGCTTGATGACATCAAAAAGCGATGCCAGTGTCACGATGCTTGTACGTACGTTTGAAGACATTTCAAGCCAATTTTAACGCATTACATATTCTTTAAACAAAATCAACATTTACTTTTTGAAATTTCAAATTGAGAGATAACTTCCTCAATACTTCTTTAGCCTTTCTTAATCTTCCAAGTCAGCTTCTTCGATTCCTCTGTTTTCCTGCAACACAAGCAGATCTCCAAATTGTACATCTAAGTATATTACATATATACATATTACCATAAACACTCTTTTCTTATTTTTTAAGAACAATTTCATAAAGATGAATTACTGTAAAATTCGATTTTGAGCAATGTTGTGAAATCTCCTTAAAATTTTCATATCAAAACGAGCAGTTTTTCGTCAGCTGCAGGTGCTTTTTCGGTGAAGTTTAAAACGTGTCGGCAAATAAGAGATTTCTCACTCATTTTTTCCGCAAATCCAGCCTCCAATTTTTGAGAAAAGAAGAACAGCCAGTTTGAACTTCAATTTACTGTTTCTCTTAAAAAGAGTGTAGCTGTCGAATGAGAAAGAGTATCCCAGTAACAGATGGTGTCATTAATAATGATGTTTTGACTTGCAATGAAACTACCTCAGATAACAGTATCGAGCGTTAAACGATGGTTTACTTCATTATCATGTCAAAACAGGATCTGATTAATAGACTTTTTTCGCAAAATTTCAGCAATTCTAGATGTGAGTGATGAAAAGGGCGAAATCAAATACCTACAAGACCACATTCAAGACTACGCGACAGAAATACTAAAGGGAAGAGAGATTTTGATTCTTCTGGAAATGAGCAGTAAGTATTAAGTATTCTGCTGGATAAAACACCTGGGATTTAATGACTAGAAAGAATGCACCAAATGACGGTATATTTGAAAATTTCTTGCAGCAAACAAGGAAACAAAGGAGGTCACATACTTACCACTATTAAAGAATATGAAGAAACTGTATCCAAACGTGATTGGTAAGGTTTATAATCTTATATGACTGTTTTTGTATTACACTGTTTTAGTGTTGAAGATTATTGTTGAAAATAAGACGTGCATTTCTCTCTTCTGTCATCATACCAAAGAAGAAGAATTAGATTTAAGATGCTTATCAATGGTCACTGAAAATTGCGTGCTTAATAAAGATTTTGAAGAGTTTTTTTACCGATCCATCTGCTCAAATGTTTCTAAAAACATAACGGTAAAAACCATTCGTCATCAAATCTGTTTCTTGAGACGTATCGTAATCAAATATGTACTTGCATAAATCGATTCAATGTCTTCTACTTCATTGAATATTTGAAACTTTCAATTCATACTAGAGCTATGACTTATTGAACGTGTCCTCGCTAAGACCGCTTACAGAAATAGCACCTCTTGCAGAGACAAATTGCATTTCAAAGGACTTTTATGTAAAAAGCAGTATACATGGCAATGTTAAGCGCGTTTTAAGTTAGTCGTTTTAAAGTTCAGTTGCAAAAAGCAAATACATTTCCTACAGAGAATTGTGTTGCAAATGCAGATACATTTTTCGGCAAAATAACTTGTGTATTTCAATAGAACGATGGTCAAATACAACCAACAACAATGAAGATCAAGCAAATGATGCCAACCAAAAGACAGGGACAACTTCTCAAAGGCAGAGACATGCTTCTCAAAGCAACAGTTTACAGCCTCAACAGAGAAGTAAAAAGCTTAGTATGGAGCACCCGAGGCGTAGAGCGAACTCTGATAGATCGCCAGTCAAGTCATTGAAAACTTGATAGCATGGTTATCCTATATTTTTAACAAAAGGCATATAGATACATAAAAAATGCCTCAAATCTTGTTAAGAAAAAACTAAACTTACCTAAGCAAAATGTTCATGTTAAAGACTCCTTTTTCCAAGTAACTGTTTCCAGCTAACAGGAAAATTAAATCATCCTTTCGATTCACATAACGTGGAATTTTATTTCGACCTTGTCAGTCTTCAAAGTTTATGGGGCGGTCTCAACTTGATCGATTTGAATCAAAAATAGAACTCAAGCCAAAAAAGAGTAATACGGGGTTGGAAGGTGGATGTATTGCTAGGAGGAAGCACTGTTTACAGAGAAGGACCGTAGGTATTGCCTTTCAATTTCTTACTCAGAGAACAAACATCAACAAATGCATTCCATCAATTAAAATAAAAAAGATCCCTCAGAAGACGTTGCCACATCCCTCATCAAATCAGTTCTTGAGACTACATTCCCTTAATCACATGAAGCAACGTTGGGCCGTTGGTGCATCAGCACAAGTTGCTTCACCTAACCCATGCAAAAAACCTAATCTTTGACATAGCTTAATAGACTCAAGTACAAGCAGTTTAAAGTTCTGGGCAGGGAATAGACAAGAAAAGTTCTCTTCTCCCCACCATAGAGCCGATGCACCAGTCTTACCTTAGATACCTAAGATATGAGAGGGAAAGAGAAAACATGACTGAATTAAGAGCCTAGTCTTTCCTAAACGAAAAATAACAAGAACTTTGAAATGAACCCCGTAATGTAAACATGCCCTAGCCTAATACAATAGAATGAACAAGGATTTGAAAAAACACACTACGCTTGATGTCAAAAAGGGAGGGGTGGACGGGAGACGAGAACAGCGTGGAAACAGCAAACGAAATAATCCCGACCCAAAGCAATGAAATACACCCATCTGAGTCAAGTGACTCACACTTTCGTGCAGAAACCCAAGCTACAGAACTCTTTCTTTTCTATTATTCCCAATGGCATCAAAGAAGCACATAAAGACTTAAGTACCAAATTGAAGCACGAGAATTGACACCCAAATGCGATACCCCTAACGAAATCAAATTCTACAACGTCCCTCGTGAAATTAACTCTGATAATATTTAATTCAATCAGCATTTAAAGCACTTTTATGGAAAGGAAAAAAAGAGTACATTGTTTTCTTTTTCTTTTTTTATTTAAAGTTGGTACAATTTCTAGCTATGCATACTCAAGCTAATTAAAACCATCTAATTTAAATTACCAACGCTAAATAAAATATAAATCAAATACATCCGATGTTGCTAACGTATTCCTTGCAAAGATCACAAGTACAATTAAACGATGAAAATTCTGAGATTTTTTTCTTGAATATTTGTAAAGTAGGGGAGTTCTTTATCTCATTTGGAACTGAGTTCCATATTTGGCTACATCTGTATGATACGGTATTAAATCCATATATTTTGTAATGTGGCTCCGCTGTTTTGAATTGGGAGTTTCTTAACATTCATTTATGGAAAATTCATGGTGATGTTGAGCACATGCAAGGTTGAATTTTTTCATGAAATTTCAATCCAGATCAACCTAGCAGTTGACAGTGTCCGGAAACTATGGCAATTCGTAAAGTGACCTAGAATAACTCTTTTTAATTTTATTTGACATTGTTAGTTGTTAGAAACATTTATTATTTCATTTTTGATGCCAATATTATAGTAAATATTGGTATAATGAGATATCATTAAATAGTATCATTAATTATCATTCAATTGACAATGCCTAGTTCGTGATGAATGTTTTCTTTTTAAACCACAATTCGAATAGCTTCGCTCTTGAGAAATGGTCATACAGCTAAGTACTTTTGCTTCTTAATATGATGAGAAGCATTGGACTGGGGTTGTAACTGGAAGCTCTTGAATGGGGATGCAATGGAAGAGACACTGAAAATAAAAACATTACGGTTAATTTAATTCAGCCAAATTATCTTTACCGATCTAGCTCTTTGCTTGGTTGAAGAAAGTATTGTTGCGTTGTGTCTTCAAGACCACGTCATGATAAAACGATATCAATTCTGTCAGCAAAATGAAATTTTCCTCTGAACTCGAATTCGGTACCCATTAAAACAGTGCACTATCTGGCTACATTTCAAAAGAACTGCGTTCACCTCCCTGCTTTTTTGAAATTTTGTAATATTACGAGCAGGCACGAAGCCAGCACTGAAAAGTTGGATGGGCAACAGGGGCGAAGCCAAAATGTTTTTTTGGAGGGATAGTGCTGCCTTTTGCCGACAAAAAGGCGTGTCTTATTCTTTTTGGGTGTGGTCATAAAATAAGTAACTCTATATGCTGTTTTTGTGTTTCTAACTTATTATTCAAAATTCTAAAGTTTCAGTTTGTATTTTTAGTGCAAACTTTGAAATTTTAGCTGCTACAGAAATATTAGCACATTACAACTGTTTCAAAAAGATTATAATTATACTATACAGGGTGAGAAAAAAATTATGTGCCGACAAAAAATAGAAAATCATCAAACGGCAGTGATCTTAATGATTATCTTTCAAAATGAATATAGCATTTTCTAAGGGAAATTAGCTACGGGGCAAACCTTTGTTTATATAAAAAAGGGACCATGGCCTACTGCTTAAAACAATGGAAAGTCACGTGGGCTGCAGGGGCAATTCCCCCCCAGTAAGTATGTTGAAAAAGGCCTCGTTTTGCAGCTTGGCGTCTTCGTTGGGACGAAAACAAGCATTCAACTAAAGATATCTTTGATTCAACGTAGGCTGCTTGATATAGCCAAAGATAGTATTTCTGGCACTAAAGTTTTTTTCATAACTTGGGATCGCTTCTTAAAATATCAAGTGACCCATGATTAGAAAACTACTCATTTGGTGAAACTTCCACAACAATAATGAACCTTGTTTCATTAATCGAAATAAAACCATTTTCAACACAGGGTCGGATCCAGAGCGAATTTAAAGGAAGGGCAGTTGGTAGTGGGGGCGCTGAAAGATTTTCAGAAATTGGCGACTAGTGTACGCTGTATACAACAATTTAAGACCCTAACTACTGACAGAAGGCTCTCTATTCACTTTGTAAGGGAATTTTCAAAATAATTGTTGAATACTTGAAGGTAATCCTTGAAGTAAAATAATCCAGAAGTCTCAAAAACTTTTTCACCTGATTCTAATTCCCAAATAAGGCGCACCTGATTCTAATTCTTGATTCTGACCCATTTCATCACGTGGGCACTAGCTTTTCTTCTACCAATACGACCACAGGGAACTGAAGTGATAACAGCAGTGAAAATGGCGGATGGCGAAGCGGCTTCTCAGGCCAGCGAGAATGTCTCTTATCCACTGAATGTTTTATACTGTGGGGGTAAGTTTTCAGTCAAATCCTAGGAGTTGCCTATATTAATGTTGAAGACCCCAAAATTCTTGCAAAGTTTTTCGTGGATGAAAAGTCAATACCTATTTTACATCAGTTTTTGTTTTACAGAAAAACGTGCTACGAAAAATTTTGTATTTACCTGGTTTAGAGTACAAGTCTTTTGACGACTAATAATTTTGTCAAAAATTTGGCTTTTTACAAAAAGTAGATAGGCCTATATCCTTTTTTGTGAAAATGCTTGTTCGTCACACATCTTACCACATTTTTTCTCTTTTTCAGTCTGTGGTCTTCCTCCCGAGGTATGCAGTTGTGTTAAACTTGTAGAACTTAAGAGTCTCGTTTTTCACTTTCAAGTTAAATTTATTTCTAGACTTGGCGCAGCAACTGTTTTGCAGATAATTTTGTTAGAAATGTAAAATTCCTTGTTATGTTTATGTGATGTTTCTATATATTCACTTTACAACAGCAAAAGCTTTAGCAGTTTCTGAACATATACAGGCAAATTTATTATTTCAAAATAAATTTTAAAAGTTTTGCCGTCCAAAAATAATGACATCAGAAAAATATAGGATGTAATAAAAAGACCAGGATAAGATGAAACGCTTACCTGTAGGTTAACAACCAGCATGACATCCTTGGGACATATCCATGCCACAGAGATCTCTGGGATAACAGCGTTGATCCAACCTTGGAAAAAAGAGAGGAGTTAATACAATTTTTAGACAAGGAAGGCCTTCAGTTTTTTATGCTTTTCTTCAAAATTGCACTAAACATATCTGGGATATAAAAAATCTCATTATTAAGTTAAGATTTTATATATTTTTTTGAATTGATTTTTTTATATAATTCAACCAAGATATGATCTTTTTTAGTTTTGTGAATATGGACCAGACTTTGACAAATGCAAAGCTTGGCTGGAGCAACACGATCCTAGTCTTTTAACTTCAATAGCAAATAGTAAGTAGAGAAGTTATATTGAAATACTATTTTGTCAATAAGTGGAGAGAAATGTAGATTTAAAAGAGAATATTGTTTCTTATTGGTTACCAATTTCTTTCTTTCATACAGTGAATCTTGATTCTGCTGAGGGTGATGATAAAGACAATAAAAAGAGACAGACTAGAGGTTTGTTTATGTTTATTTAACCCATTATCACAGACCCATTATTACAGTAGTTGTAAAAGCAATATAGCTTTATTTTGTTTTTTGTTGAACCTACCAGACCTTACTGCTTGCCAAGGGCAATTGTCCTCTCAATCATCATTTTGCCTGTGTACAAATTGTATATAGAGCACACAGTTTGATCTTTGCTGGTGAAGAGCTGTTAATTGTTGCAAGGTTATTTATAAACAGATAATTCAAGAAAACTATTTTCCAATCTAGGTGGAAAAGCAAACAGACAGGCAAAGAAAAAGGTATCAGTTAGATAAATACTTTGCAATTTAAGAATATATTAATCAAAGTACTGTCACATTTTTTGGTTATTAAGGGTGTAAGCCTGAGTGCTTACGGTTATCAAAGGTTTCATAATATTTCTTAATGAAGAATTGGGTTAACCCAGGACCAGTTGTATTTTGGGAGAAGAACAGTGTTACTTAAGTAACTAATATTTAATGATCAAATTAAGTAACCAGCAAATTTTCCTAATTATCTCTTGACTGCTTATTATTTCTGCCCATCAATATATTCAAGAGAAAATGCTACAAATAGCTAATTATATTTTTATTTTTTCATTTTTATAACATAATAGCTCTTTAATTCCTCCTCATTATAACAGACATCAATAAAGTTCTCAGGCTTGTCCTCTGTTTGACAGTGTTGGTTAGCATTTACACGTCCAGCTGAGATATCTGTTGCTATGAGCAAATGGCTCTTGATATCATCAAATCATACACAAAAACAGTTTAATGTTATTGACTGACTTTTCAAATTGCCCTCCTTGCCAATTATTACCTAAATCAGGACTTAGGTAATGATTAGTGATCTCAGGAGTACAGAACTTCAGAATGGAACTGTGAAATTAATATTTTAGTTACACAATGTGATTACATCAACATATATTTCATTTTATCAGTTTTTATTTCGATATTTATATTTTATGTTGCAGATAGAAGGTCTTTACATGGAAGAGCTAGTTTTCTAAATTCTTATTTCCTCGCAGACTGCTGTGCAGAAAATTACTATAACAAAAGAACAACGTAGTAAGAAAAAGACAGTGACTGTAGTGAATGGTCTATCAACTTTTGGTATGCTGCTGAATAATTTTTTTGGAATATAAAGAGATACGGTGCACTCCTGTTGTCTTTCCAAACAGCTTATTATAATCTATAATATGGCTTAAACCTTTGAACATCCTTACTGACAGAAAGAACCCTAAAACGTGCTAGATGATTTTTAAAGTTTCCTGAATTTCATTCCTTAGTTGTGTTATATATTTTTTCTTTTTTTAATGGAGTGACAGTCATATTTTTTAATTTTGTTAGTATTTCTTCTAAAAACGTTTTTTTTTCAGAAATTGATTTAAAGAAAGCATCAAAACTTTTTGCAAACAAATTCTCATGTGGATCTTCTGTTACTGGTGATGATGAGATTGTTATACAAGGAGATGTGTCTTATGATCTAATTGAGCTGATACAAAGTCACTGGCCCGAGGTAAATAAAATGTCTTGCATAAAATCTATCTGTAACAATTAAAACATCTCTTTGGAAATCTTTTTTACTTATGATGTAAATATGTATTGAGAAAAATACATCTCATTGACCTGATACAAAGTCACTGGCCAGACATTGGGTTCCGGGAAGTTCCAACATTGGGTTCCGGGAAGTTAACATCTTTTCAAGTTTGAATGCATGCCAAAGTGTCTCGAAAGAATATTTTGAGCAGATTTGTTTCAATTGTAGGTTTTAGGGTATATTTAAACTTGTTTTGTTAAAACATTGTAGAATGTTACTGGTTTTTACAAAATATGTAAAATTGCAAAAACCATTTTGCAGTCTGGACCTATATCAAATGGTTTCAAAAACTTTTTTGTTTTTTAGGTTGATGATGATAGTATTGAAGACAGGACTTAATAAAGTTCTTTGCTAGATATCCTTGAAATAATTTCAAAATGTATGTCATTAAATCAAAAGCTTTTCCAAACCAATTGACTTCTTATTTACTTTAACTTGCACTGCTATTAAATAACGAATGAAAAAAAAATTTGAGATTTTTTCTAATGGAGCTCTGACCACAGAAGCCTATTTACACAGCACTTTTAACCTGCCCTCGTTCTCCTTTACACTGGTTGAGCCCAACCAAGCATTCACTTAGAGTGAGTGGACCTGCCAGCTGTCTTTAATTCTAGACAGGAAACAAGAGGTGTGGACAGGGGGGGGGGTACCTACTGTGGAAAGTTGGTTGGTAAATTTTACAGATGGTCGGTAAATGTAAATGTTGATAGCACATGGATCTCATTTGCTTGTAATTGACAAGATCATATTGATAAAACAGTTAAAATTCACAATATGTACCTTTAAAATAAGTTATACATTGATTAGCAAGAGTTGAATTTTGGTTGGTAAAATCACCCATTTATACCCCCCCACTCCAAATTGTCAAGGTACCCCCCAGGTGTGGACACGTCAAAAGGAAAGACTAGGACTAGGAACTTTTTGTTAAGCATCTCAGTGTCCCATCCAAAAAACCACCTTGGGAGTAACAAATACAAAAAAGGTATGGTATATTACATGCAAAGGTTTTTCTTTCCAAAAACCAAGTAATTTTCGCCTTGGCATTTGTATTAAACATTATATTGTCAAAAATTAAGTAAATGAACAGACCAAAAAATTGCTGGTAGAAAATAACCACAATTTTATTTACTAATTTTGGAATGATATACATGTGGGGTTTATGAAGCTGGACTAATTTACATGAGAAGAAAGAAACTTCTGATGGCTATAGATTATGGTCAGTTTAAAATGCAATCAGGGGAGACAAGTAACTTTTAAAAAATGCAAAGTCTCCACTGTATAAAAACGGGAAAACAGATAATTGAACCTCAACAGATGCTTGTATGTTTAGAAGAGTACTCAATGCAAAAGGCTTGCCAAGTGCTTTTAAACACACAGCCATTTCTCTGAACCTTTTCTAAGATTATTTTGCCCCTGCAAAGTTGAAGGTCTGACAATTCCACTGCTATAGGTATGTTTCAAATAAGGCATTATTTATGCAAAAACAGAATAAGGGGATTTTTAGCAATTACTAAAATATTTACTTGCAGGTATACCTTCAACACAAAAGCAAAATATGGCCCTATAAAATAGAAGGAGAACATTGCATAAATTGTTAGTGCCTACGTTTGCCTCCCTATCCTTTTCTTGTGCAGATGCCGCTGTTTACGGGAATACTTTGCGAAAGGAATGACATAAAAACCTTTCAAAATATGATTCCATCAGTTATATGACATAAAAAACTGGAGTAGAATTAGACTGGCATTTTACCATATCAACATATATATCATCGCCATTATAATTTGCTGAGCCAATTTTTCTTACCCCTAGCCATGCAAATAGCCACCAAAATCGTTATTAAAAATCTAAATAAGAATCAAGGGTGATAGGTCATGAATGATTACTCCTTCATTAATTGGAGTTTAACATTCTTTTTTTCTGCATTTAATATTCTTCTACTTCGGTGGAAACGTCAAAAATGTGCTAAAAGATTTCAAATCAATTTTTTTTCTGAAAAGTACGCCAACTCAACTCTGGGAACATGACAATTTTTCAATGGGACAGAGAAAATACCCAACCCCTGAACGACTATAACAATGTTTGTCCTTAATAGATACAAATGGTAATCCAATCGGCTTTGAAATTGACAAAAGATATAAATGAATGGCAATTAAGACTGTGTGAGGGAAATTAAAGCAATTTTTATTTGCAATTGACTCATGTCTATGATTCTGCTTGCAGATTACACTATCAGGCAGGGATATATACAATGCTTGCCAAAAGTCTTAGCACACTAAAGTTTCGCAAGTTCAGTAGCATCCCCATCTCCCCCTTTGAAACAATGTTGAATAACAACAGTTTCAAAGCTTCAAATTAATCCAATGTAACTCTATCAGCTAGGGTAAGTAATAGGCTTTTCAACCAACATTTTTTGGGGGTGGAAGGGGGATATTTCTGTATCTTACAGCCAGAAACCTTTATTTCATCAAAATCTTACATTGAGTGTTCCAAGGACAAGGACCAACGTGGTAATAATGTGGTTTTTGAGAAACTAATTAATCAAGCAATAGTAATTTTTTGCTACCCGGAAGTATATAAATTTGAAACATCCCCAGGTTTTTAGCAGACAATTCTTTTAACAAAGAAAGACCATATAACAATCTATACTTCATAACTGCTACGAAATTTTATTTGCAAACGATCTATAATGTGCGCTAAACCCTTATTGCAATACCCCAAATTCAAAAGCTTCTGCTGTACTTCCTCCATAAACGCTGACTTTAATTATATGACTTTTTTTTGTCTCAAACCTGTCTGGAGATGCATTTTTCTTATCAAATGATATGGCTGAGACAAGCATAGATGCAAAAACAACACATTAACTTATCAAACAATACTGGGTATCAATATAAACCTTAAGTTTTAAGTGAAATAGTGACACCATATTGTCCAAACCTCCTGTCAAAGCTTTACCTAAATGCCCAAAACTATACAAAAATGATATTTAAATGCATTAAGTACCAGCAAGATCAACTGATGAAATAAAACATTCACTATTTTATCACAGCATTTAGAGTTAGGCCAATATTTCCATACACAAACGACAAACCAGGGCTGCAATTTTATCAAATTGCATGATGACTATGAACTATTAAGAGGCTCGATTTGATGGTTATTATCTCTATATGATTTCATAATTTTTAACAGAAGGTTCAAGTCAGAAGATAGAATTATATTTACGTACAGTAATGCTCTTGCTGAAATTCAAAGAGCATCCTCATTGTGTGAGTTATCTAGCGCATCAAAAATGTCTTGTTTCTTTGTTTTCTTCTTCAGGGGCTCTATAAAAATATTGTTAATTTCAATAAGTGCTTCTTGTACTTTATAATAACTATAGTCTCAAAATAAAAGAACAATTATCTTCAACAGAAATACATAAAAATTCAACCAAATAGAAAATAATACCCTTGCCCCCTAAGACAAAAAAATAACCATTACGGGTGAAAGTTCTTCTTACGAACAATAGGTCGATATGAACGATATGTGGTGTACTACAAAAGTGCCCCTGTTATACCCAAAAGTATGTAGTGTTTAACAACAGTACAAACTTGGGGCTACTAAAGGCTAAAATATAACCAGGCTTGACTATTGTAGAATTAAAAGCCAGAAAACCTTGCTACTCATTAAAAACATTTTTGTCGGTACTGTTTTAAGTTGATAAGAAAGTAGCTTATAGTTAATTGGCTTTTCTACGGCATATTTCTTAGACTTCGCTTCAGTGCAAGCTACTAGTTGCCAGGTCACGAACCCACGCAGCATTTGGGAAGTAAGAAGTGCGAAAAAATAGGAATCAAAGATTGCGGAAAGATTCCCGGGCATTTAAAATATTAAGATATACAGAAAAACAGAACTATTTACTCTGGTGCCACTCTACTCTTCTGGCTAACATCATATTGGGATAAAAGCCATGAATCTGAACGCATAAATAGCTATAGTTTGCTTACCTTCTCTGAAATGAAGAGCAGTTTTGTTTCTAATGCTATCCACAGTTTCGTCATCTTCAGCCCACTCCAACACAAGACGCCTTCCATACAAATGTGTACTTTGGCACAAACTCTTAAATGCTCGCTGGAAAATACCATTGTCGCTATATTAGTTATTTATCAATGCAGTATAAAGTTAGTGTCGGGACTTTAAAAAGTTTGCTTCTCGGAAAAATACCCACGGCTTTGATTTAATGAGCAACTACCTAATAAAGATAGCCTGACATAAGTTGAAGTCACTCGGATAAAAAACCGCTAATGCTGAAGAAAAATATAGACCAAAATCTTTCTCTATGCCTATCTGCGAATTTCGCCTCGGTAGAAGTAGCATTGCTGCTTTCTAGTGACTAGACTTATGTGAGTTATCTGTTTGTTCATTCGCAAGGTTTTTGATCGATTTATCTTTCGAGAACATTTATACGGGGCATGCCAACTATGCCGGACGTGAAAAGTCGAAACAGCTGAAAGAGGGGCCCGGACCCGTGATAACCAAATATCTTCCATACTTTGTAGTCTGCATAGACCCATGGATGGAAGCTGTTACAGGGGGGTTTGTATTTAAATGAAAGGTGAACTCTGTAATAAGGTGCGGCTTTAACATTTCTATGTTTATAATATTAATGACTGCACTGTTTTAAGGCCATGTGCAGAACCAATATAAGTTTCTTTCGTGCAATATTTTTCAGAGAAATACTGTAGGCAGAATTAAGGATAACTAAAACCAAATACACTTACCTTTGCATCTTGCTTTGAAACAAAATCAATGAATGCAAATCCTCTGTGACTCCCTGTGCCAGCAACTTTCTTTGGTATTCTCACTGTTTTCAATTCTCCGAACGTTCTACGAACAAAACAGACAGCAGCCTTAGAGTCAGATGATCTGATAGGCAGACAGCAAATTCGTTTGTGCTTATGGATTGAAAAAAAAGACAATTAAATTTATGTAAACTTTTAAGACAATACTGCATTACTATACAAAATAATTAGGTATATCCGCATTAAGCGTGAAACTCTAAACTGCAACTTAAAACAGTCCTGTACAATACATCCAAGCGTGTACAGCTCTGCATATAAAGCAATAACTTCAAACTAGCTGGGTATGTAGAATCAATTGATATGCCTCTTCTTTCAGACAATTTCAATTTTGCTGCCCTAAAAGAGTTTCATATTTGAACTTCATAGGTAAAGCAAAGACCTGAGGTTACATTTCATATTTGTGAATTAGTCTAGGACACTTCTCTTCTTAAAAGCTTCCGCATTTTACGTTTTGGCAATAAGAACTATTTTCTGACTGTTTAGAAAAGAGTTAAAAAAAATTTTCAGTTCAAACTTTGACTTACATAAAAAATTATAACAGGAATGGAAAAATTTCGCAAAAAAATATTTTGACATTGTTTTTTGGTGGTCTAAAAATAGACCTTTCAAGGGCTAGACTAGACTCTGTACATTTTAAATGGATTGTTCCGAACATCCAATGAGAAACGGGTTCTATTAGTTATCAGTAATTGATAGTATTTGTAGGTGTCCGTAATTGTTTCATTTAACTGTTACCTGTTACATGTTTTTATATGTGAATGGCCACAGGGTAGTCATTGTCTTTTGCTCCCTGTGGTCCCGTCCCTGTACACTTTGTGAAGTAATTAGGATGTATAGTAGGATGTAGACGTAAACATGTATTGTAAAAAATGGATTGTTTACAAACAAGTCATACCCAAAAAGTTGTTTGAGCTCCTTTTTCGATGCCTCAAATGGGACGTTTCTCACTAGTATCTTGCTTGTTGTTTGCTTCTTAGCCAACGCACGCTTCCTGGTCGTCTCAGCCCCTCTACAAAAATCAAAACATTAGAAAAGTCAATGTTTTCAGCAACTTGAATTGATGTCAAACTAATATATGGCAAGAGAATAAACTTTAATAATGTCATTTTGATACACATATTTTCTAGCATTTTTGAAATAATGAAGGAACAATATGAATCATCAAAAGAAATAAGAATATACAAAATAGGAAACTGAATTGTTATAAAATGCACGCATCAGATGCCACATAAACTGTTTATCCCTAATAATATTAGCCAATTTATAGCTAAAACGATTAAAATTAGACCTTTTATCCAATATCATGGTCAAAGGAGAGGTTTCAAATACTATTATGATTGTATTAGGATTTTGAAGTAGCTGTATGGCAACTTATATTCGCAACGATAAAATGCAAAGCGTACTCCTCTTTCCTGTGGGATTTCTTGAGCTCAAGCTGATGACCATCCAACATCGAATGCTAAAAATAGACTTGTATCTATAAAAGCAATTCTGACCAAATAGGTAAAACAACATTTGAGTACCGGCCTCTCGAAGTTTTCTTGAATATCAGAAAATAAGGTAGAAACTCAAACAAATATTCCCATGTCTATAAAGGTTAGCACTATTTTTGGACATAAAGTTCCTTTCCACATTTCAGATAATTATGTCCTTTTTATAAATATTTCATTTATAAATGGCTTATAGCTCATACTTGCAACATAAGACCTTACGTACTGAAAAAGAAATCGAGATGACAAGGTTTCAACCTAATGTAAAATGACTTAAAATTTGCTTGCATAACCATCTATCCTACGGAAAATAAATAGAATGCTTCCAGCCCTCTTTCGTTTTTATCTGCTTAAAAAACGTCATCGCTACAGTTTGGCTGACAATTGCTCAAAAAGCCATAACAACCTCGGTGGAGTTATCTTTAAAATTATGAATCATTCTGCTTCATTTATGTTCCACCTAAAAATACTTTGTCAATATTCTCTTCTTGGATCAAAGCTAATAAATACAAGTCCTACCTGCAATGTTTTGACTGCCTCGTCTGCATGAGCTTTATGTTTGAATTCGACAAACCCATATCCCATGGACAGCAACCCTTGTGGCTTCTTTGGATCTTTCTTGCGAGCGATTGTGACAGACCTCACTTTGCCACATTTTTGAAAATGCTGTAAAAGCAGTTTGATATTACCATCGAATTGCAAGTTTCTTAAAAGACGATTACCCAAAGAAAAAGATTAGAAGCACAAAATCATTCAATGATGACACAACATATGGTATGTTACTAAATGCGAGAGGAAACAGAGCATTTTGAAAATAACCGAATTTATAATAAAATCCTATTTTAAATATTGGCATAATCTTAAAAAAAAAGAATGATAAAATAAGATGAGTCATAATTTGGCCATTTATTTTCTTCCAAATACATAGAGGAATAAGGGCGCTTTGACTCCCGATCTACGCAACTCCAGACAAGTCGCTTTTCTCAGTAAAGGTAACTTTAGGCCTGTTTTTCAATTCCGCAGTTGATGTTCAGTAGTTTCAGATGCACTCTGAACGACGTTTCTAAAGTAATCAGTGACACGGGCGTTTAGAGACAGCAAGTCGAACTAGTGTCAATTTTGCTCTTCGAAATCGGCGCTGATAAAAACATTCGAATAATAAAACAAAATTATAATCAGACAGACTTGACGAGCGTCACACAAGCCAAATATGACTCCTTGACAGTAATTCAAATATGTATAGTACCTGTTCAATGTCTTCTTCTTTTGTGTCAAAGTTGAGATTTTTTACAAATATAATTCGGCCAGAATTTTCTGTTGTCCCATCATCAGCATCTGAAATATTTTGTATCACAGCATTTTTATATATTTCTATAAACAATTAATTTGTGAACTGAGACTTTATTTTGAAGAGTTTCAGATTAACTGAGTTATTGTATGCGAGAAGTGGCAGAAATGCATCAAGACGAAATAAATTGTTTTCACGTCACGGAAGAAGGCTTGAATTAGGAGCGAAGAACAAGTTTAAAAGACACATCAATTAAAACGGTAGAGATTTACTTAAATTAGCATATTCTTTCACAACAATCGATTGCAACTTTGTGGCATTCAATTAATTTCTAACTTCGAAACTGGCGACATTTATAACAACTATGCAAAGGAAACTGGCTTTGCACATTAAGAATCGGTTTACCAGATAGCTGAAAATCTAGATTAACAAAATGAAATATTTACAAATGCACGATACGTACCATTTTCTTCGTTCTTATTTTCCTCATCCTAAAACAAATAGTAATAATCAAATTATTTCATTTAATAAGTAACATCTTTACAAGGATTTTCCCAAACACCAATTAATGGACTCAAACTGCACTGTACAACAAACATAAAAATGGCTTTGAAACTTGGAATGATTCTGAGGGCACATTAGAGAATGTCTTCCCTCCAGCACCCACCAAAGTTACAAATGTAGAATGATGACAAAAAGGCTAGTTTACCTGGCCTTTCGAAAACCACAGGAAAACATAAAAAAGGATAGGTTAACTGAAAAAAACAAAGTAGGATCATAAATACAGGCGAGAATTTTCCTTAATATGAACATTTTTTGCTTATATACCTCCTGAGATTTTGTAATCATAAAGAAAAATTGTTGAGGCAAAGTTAAATTTTAGCAAAATACGTAAAATACAAAGTTTTGGGACAAGAAAACATGTTGACAAGATACTAACAGCTTATTTAAGCCTTACTGAAGTGAGAACTAAGTACTCCCGCAACGTCCTCGAACATAAAAATGCATGTAAATCAACCTTTGAATAAAAACCCATCCATACCTCAGCAGCCTCTTTCTCTTTTACAGGTAACTGAGGCTCACAAAACACATCAGCTGGCGCCCATTCCAAATATAAAGGCACATGCTTGAGCTGTAAAAAGAAATTATTGTTAAATTACTTTTTCTTCGTCTTATAACTGCCTATAAATTAACCTAACATATTGACTTTAACATATAATGTTTTGTCTAAACACCATAATCTAGAAAATTTGTTTGAAACCCTCGACCTGATCTTTGCGAAGAGATCATAATAAAAAGCAAATATAATACATGATCACCTTGCTGGCATTTTTACTCTTGTGTAAAGAATATAACCTTCCTTGCATATATTGCAAACTTCGTTTACATAAATCATTTCCATACGTGAAAACACTTGATATAAAAATTCTGAAATCGCTGGTTTCCTCTTTGCGTTCAATTCACAGCAGTCTAAGTATTTTCCCAAAGGCCAACTTATTTATACTTTCGTTCGAACGAGATTTAGTCCGGGAAAATTTATAATATATTTTTTCAAACAAAGGCAAAAGTTTAATTTTATTCTGACTTCAGCTCAATGCATAAAATGAGATTTATTTCTCTGATAAAGATCTGACTAATATTTCAAGTGAGTTAATTAAAAACTAAGAAAGTACCCTTCAATAAATTATTTTTGTCATTAGCTTACGAAAAGCGTATTTTGCCTTGATCGACTTGATTGATGATGACTGTCACATGGAGATTTGCCATGGATAATTTGTTGGATTCAAACAAGGGCATGTTAATCATATCATTGATATCAAAAAAGGTTAACGAAAGCCAAAGGTGTTCATCGTTTTCTTCTTGATTCTATTAAGAAAACTCTCCCAGTTTGAGCAAAACCAATATCAAAGATAATTCAACAATAAAGTAAAACCATCATAATCAAATGAACAGGAAAAACAGCCGGAAAGAAGGCTTCTGACTAATATTCGAGAATTTGAAGATTTATGATTTTTGAGAGCCATTTTGTGAAAGCTTGTCATTTTGAAACAATTATATTACAGAAAAGTCAGATTTTTCTTGAACCATAACAAGACATAAAGGAACTTTAGATTTCAACAAAAGCTAATGAATAAAAAGTTCAAAATCCCTACTGGCAAGGGACCAAGAGATTTCCAAAATACAACAGCACGGGCAATGGCTTGCAAAAAAATATCTTGACATATCGGAAAACATTTGGACTTTGATACAATGACAGGACCATCAGTGAGGATTAGCGCCGTTTCAAATAATTTACTGAAAAACAAAGAAAGTATTGGAAATTCTCCTAACCTTAAATTTAATCGGAATACGGCGCTGACTATCAGAGATTCTTTAATATAAAAAAGAGAAAACTTCCTTCTGGAATTCCCTAGTTTTGAGAACTATATGATTATGAATATTATAAAATATATGCCTTGTGAAGTAAATATCAACTTGTTAACTGCTTTAATTATAATTCTTACCTTGGAATAGGCTAAACTTCTGAAGGCAGCTCTAGCCTCGGTTGGCTGTACAAACTGTACGATTGCTGTTATCCCAGAAGGAGGCAGCAGAACTTTATCTAGATCCCCAAATTTGCCGAAAAGATTTCTCAACTCTACGTCTTTTGTGCCGTGTGGCAAGTTTTTTACGAGGACAACTTCATTGCTTCTTTTGGTATTCACCTAAAAAAAACGACAAAACATTTCAGAAAGATATGATTATCCATATGAAGAATGAATATACCTGAAATATGGATATAATGATGATGTCACAACCCACAGCTGTTGTTATCGATAGATCGATTTTCGAGGGCTGGACTGCAGTTTAGCGAACCACTTTTTGTTTCCTGGTCGGAAGTTGAATTGAATCGCTACTACCTAGCAACAATGACTGCAATTCTACAAAAGTGAATTATAAAATGGCTGAACTGCTGAGATTCGAAGATGCTTGGAATGGTTGGCGGTTGCCAGATGCTTGGGATGGTTGGCGGCCAAATTCGGCCAGCCAAACAAAATATACAAAAAGCTATATTTTTGCTAGTTTTCTGCTATCTTTTACCTTGTTTCTTGATTCGCTATTTGGAACTTTGAGATTATTTTATCAACATGTTGAGTATTTTCTATGCTAAAGTTGTTGTTTTCTATGACGGCCAACAACATTGAAAAACGGCCAGAATAGAGCAATTTGATTCGATTTGATTCGAACCCTGATTCGAACTTTTGATTGTTTCAGAAACCAGGCTTTGTAATTCATAAATATTTGTAATTTGTAAAAGGTTTGTAATTCAATTCAACTTCCGACCAGGGAACAAAAAAGTGGGTCGCTAAAGTGCAGTCGTCCCAAAACTGAATTTAATAATGATGTTTTAACTCCTCTATGGAATTTTTCGCATCGTATTCTACATATCATAACAAGATTTTCAGCTTTCGTAAGTCAAAACAACTGTTTACTGACATGACTCTAAAATGTGCAATTATGTTAAAATTGGCTTATCTGTGGATATTTCCTGAACATCCTTCAATGTTTTTGAAACAAGTACGTCGTTGAAAAAGTCATATTTTTATCTATGTTGAAAACCCTATTGTAAAAAAGTTAAAGTTTAACAAATTACAATTGATAATCATGCCATTCATTAACTTGGCAACGGTAAATGAAACATATCTTGGAGATAACAGCAAGTGAATCAGACAGCTTTGAAGACAAAGGTCACAGAAGTGAAATCTGAAGAATGTGGAACCCCAACAACGATAATTCACATTTGCCTAACAGAAAACGTAGAGATGCAACGTCGAGAAATGAAATTAAGCTTTATCCATTCAATTTTTTACAAAAACAAAACAATTTAGGCAGTAATTATTTTTCAAAACAAAAAAACTATATTTCGACAAAAATAGGACTTGAACTTCAATACAATAAGATAAAATTTGGACTTCAATGTAAGAGAAAGTTAAGACAAACTCTTGTACACAAGATGGTCAAAAAAGGATGGTATAGAATAGAATAACAACACATAAAGATGATGGTCTGAAAGATAGGACGAAAGTGGATGTAGACGTTAACTGGTTAGTTTCTGCTCTCCGGAGGTTTGTGGCAGCAAAGTTCTCTCTTCTATTGTAAGACTATGTACTTACTATAGGAGTTTGCTTTAATTTATTTTGCTGCATGCACAAGCAGTGGATAAAAATTAGAATTGGATGAAGCGACGGGGAAAGAAAAGACTTTCTAGCACATTTACATACAACAAAGTTGACTGTTAAAGAAGACAGAGTAGCGTACAACGAGATATGCAGATGTCTCATAAAGGCTTTTTGGGTCACGTAGAGACAGGAATACCTACGAAAACAGACGAAAACCTTTAGATTCCCACAGCTAGTGCGCTTGCGCGATCACAACAAATGTTTAATTGATGGCAAAACGACTAAACATTTGCTAATCAATACTTAACAACGCTAAACATTTTTGACCAGGATCAAACTTTGCTCAACAACACTCAACACGAATAAACAACACTAAACAGGGTGGCAAAACGATTAAACTTTTCAATAAACTTTTGACTAAACAAAAGTTGAATGAAATGTTTAGTCGTTTTGCCAGGGCTTAACGAGTTGAGTCGCATTTGACTTAAGTCTTGTTGAGTTTTATAGAATACAAGAGTGCTCTGTTGTTGATAGTTTGGGTGAAATAAAAGCAAGTGCACCCGAAACACCAGCATCGAGTATGGACAGCAGATAAACCAAAGGTATAGAAGGAAAAGTATTTTAAAATGAATGGATGAAACTTGTTAAAAGCAATTCGTCAGAACGTAATAAAAATAGCACAGAAAATCCACAGTCCATCAAAAAAGGGAGCTGGAAAAAATCCTTACAAAAATGAAGAAATTGTAGTCTAATCTATTCAGATTTGATCATCATGATCATAACCCAATCAAGATCAAACAAAAAAGGCAAGAATACTTTGTTTTCTTTGAACTCTTTTTTTATCAATTCAGGCAACTTAGCTGAATTTGAAACTCTGCGGTTCCATTCCTCTGATAAAGGTTAAGCTGGACTTGCTTGATAAAGGTTCGATTCGACACCCTGGTGCAATGCAAGCAAAACAACAACCAAGATGAAGGAAGAATATCCTGTCTATCTATCCAAAACAGAGAACATTACATAACCCAGTCATTTATTCCTTTTTGGATTGTCATATTATAGGATGGTACCTCCTCTGGTGTCACTGATCACTCAGACTGTCAAGGAAATTATCCATTAAGCAACTGCCACTTTAAATTGTGCGAAATATAAATTCTAAGGTTTATTCAATTTTTTCATTATTATTCAAAACATACAAAAAAGGACTTACAGTCAACGTTCAATCTTTAAATTGGATAATTTTGCCACAATCTTATTCTAGCTGTTTGGTGAGGTAATCCTTGCGGGCTCTACTTGTGCCAACTTGTTGCATATATGTTTTGAAATTGGTTATTATTTTTTATAGAAACTTTTCCTGATAGACTAGGTTTCCTATTCATAATGTCATGCTACACATTGAATCTGGTAGTATTTTAGCACAAAGTTAAAGGTTACAAAAGCAGAAGGCTATTTTTGAAAAAATATAAGCAATCGGAATTAATCATAAAAGAAGGGTTAGAGGATTAGGACATAAAGGATTTTTTGAGTTTTTCTTTGCAAATGCCAGATAACTGCATCTTATGTTTGCTCTGCACTGATTAATTCACAGTCAGCAATTTTTTTGAAGTACTAAACAAAAAACAATTGTTTTAGCATCATTCATTTTGATTTATGAAAAGCATTACAAAATAATGTCCAAAAAGTATAAAATAAAATAGCAAGGTTAAAAAAATTTCTTTAAATTAAAATCTAAACATAGCTAATATAAAGGCTTTAAAAAGTTTACTGGGACAGGCCATATTCATAATATATCTTTACCCTTGAAGTTGTGACAATTTCAGTTTCTGGGATAAAATTTCTTTAATTGGCCACATTTGACAAAAGGAATGTGTCAAATGTCATTTGCATTTTGTGCATCTATGTCCATTTGTCTAAGGATGGTTGCTGAATGGCAAGGAAGGTTGAGATGTCATCTTGACACTTTTTTAGCTGTCATCACTACCATAATGTACAAAAACATCTTTGGCACAACAGCTTGAGAAATGACACTTCAGAACTTAATCTTGAGTTATAATTCCTCTAGTTTGGCCTTTATCTATATTTGAGATCCCTATAAATGGGAAAACATGACCAGCATTGCCCCAAAATAGCAACTCTTTGGATCTAAATTTTTTCTCAGCAATCCACCTTTTGGTGCTCCTTTTTGACTCCCACTTTGTCGAAGAGGGTGCTGTTGTTCATGTTTCATGCATATCTTTTGACCTTTGTGATAAAATCCACCGAAGACCACAGTCAATATTTTTTTCAACCAATTGAGCCAGGAGGAAGTCCCTGTCCTCTTGAGTTACAGGCCGAGATATTGCACGGTAACCTGGCTTTGGATGTTTGAATATTTCACTTAAAGTTTTAATTTCTGATTCCTGCTGTTTTTGAGGTGGAAATCCTGTCCAAGTGTTAGGCAAATTGGATGTTGAAAAACCATTTTTATAAACATGAATACCAGCTGCTGCCATGTGACTACACAGCAAACTGCTTCTTGGGCACTCGCAACTTGCGGAGGTAATATTACCGTCCCCATCAACAGTTAGGCCAACCTTGTATGAACGGTCTTTCAATGAAGCCTGCACGCTTGCCGATACCTCTAATCCATTAAAATCAACTTCCACAACAAATCCATTATTGAATTTGAATTCTCCTTTACTGAACGCATTGATGTCTTCCTTGAAAAATTTCGATAAACCTGATAAACTAATCGCTTCTTGGACAGCCGCCATGTTTTGTTTTGGTTAGAAGACGGCTGGGTGTTAGACAGGACATATAGCCTGACAATCTGACATTCAAGCTAATGTTTACTTTCTCAACGGTTTCTGGTAGTAGAAATTTCAGGCTTTCATAATCTGCCAGGTGACTTTTTTGAAAATGCCTGGATGTCACGTGACTGATGACGTCATTTAACGGTAAAAAGTCAGACAAAATCATCGTTAGCTCCTCACTAAAGGGTTATTTTTTAACGCAACTTACATATTTTGACTCGTCTCATTGCAAGTTTTCAAATGATATATATTTAAGCAAGATTTGCCGACATAAGTATTTCATTATGACGTCATAACAAATTTTGCATGACGTCATCAAATATTTTGTTGTCATAAAATGATACGTTAGCATAATTTTGTTTTAATATGACGCTGGCTGTCAGCAAAAGCTTTTCTTCCAAATGTTTTTCAATTAAAATATAAGTATTTAGTTCATTTAAATTGAATTTGTGCCCACCGCAATAGCCAAAGTTCGAAACAGGTAGTAGTCACTATCTGACGAGTGAGTCACTTCTTACTCCGAAGTCGCAAAGTCTTGCTCCCACTCTGAACCGGACAATTATTTCTCTGCATCTGCATTTGACTGTTGCTAAGTCGGAAAATATCCTCGCACTATGATAGACTGTCCAAGATGTCTTCGTACTATAGGTCTTTAGCGCTGGGTATGAAAGTGTATGATTTTCTTCATGGGTAAATTCATCTCCTGCGTCACCTTCATATTTTTGTGATGTAAAGGAAGCTCTCGGAGATGAGGAA